TTTTTTTTTTTTTTTTTTTTTTTTTTTTTTTTTTTTTTTTTTTTTTTTTTTTTTTTTTTTTTTTTTTTTTTTTTATTGTGAATTTTCTGTGCGGTCTTTTTGTTTGGGCTCTACACTTATTTGTGAAGTGTTTAAGAAGCACCTTCGTTCTTGATGACCCAGCTTTTTGCATGATAAACATGCATGTACTCTTCTGCATTTCTTATCCTCATTGCAATTTCTTCAGTTCCAATTTATGCAGATTTCTCTGCCATCATGCCAAGCTGTATCACTTCTGTAAATACGTGGTTTGTAAACTTTTGTTCTCTTCGTAGCCGTTAAGTCAAAATTTTCCCCTTCAGCCTCGATGTTTCTTTCAAATAATGTTGTATCTCGGTTTATCACTAATGCTAAACGACGATCTTCATCATATGCCGTTACTGCGGCAAATTCATACTTGATATGACTGCGATAAAAATTCAATTCTTGCTCCCGTTCTTCATATAATATGAGAACTGCCTCCATATAAGATTCGAAGGCCAGAAGCCATTCAGATATTTCTCCAAGTTTATTGTATATTGGCCTTTTCCTAATAGTTATGAAACCCCATCGGATGTTTGCAGGGGCGTATCATCATGTTGGATCTTGGCACTTGCCTTCACATTTTATATGTGAATTCTTGGAGATCAATATAGGCTCCAAATGCAATCGACTTCCACAGACGAGTTGATAAATTAGGCTTGCACGGCAGCATTTCAATTACTTTCTGCCCTTCAGACCAGTTAGATATCCACCATAATCTTTTACTTTCAATCTTTGCCGCTAATGGGTTTGAAAAACCCTGTACTACTGGAAGCTGCTTTAATACTGCATAATTTATTGATGGGTACTTACGAATTTTGTGTATTGTTGCTGATTGTGTATTTCTTGAATGTGATGTTGAACCTATTGGCCTTGAGTTGACTAACAGGTTGCTAAATGTTGGAATAGATACGTTATTGCCTTGTGGTGTTTCTTCTCTTTTTTCCGATGGTGAGCACACAGTTATTGGTATTGCATGATCAACTACTATGTCATTTGCTGGTTGGTTGTTATCGGGGTTACTCACATCGTCAATTAGACCAGCCTGCTCTAATTTGCTAAAGCGCTCATTCAATGTGCTTTGTATTTGTTCATTCCAGAGCCTCTGAGTTTCTGTTTGATGGTTTAATAGGTCTTTTACTTTCTCAAAGAGCGTTGTTATAGCTGCTTGGCATGAGTCATCGATATATGACTTAATTTAAGGATCTATGTTCGGTGCTGGTTCCTTGGGTTCGTTGGACATCGTTATGGTGGTATTATTTTCCTTTTTTTTTTTTTTTTTTTTTTCGTCTCTCTCTTCTTTCTTTTTTTTTTTTTTTTCGAGAAAGTATTTTGGATCAGATTTTACGGGACCTGGTTTCAGTATCTTTGGCCCCCGCTATTTATGCGCTATTGTCTTTTCTTCTTTCACATGGCCGTGAGGCTATGTGTTGCTTGGCGTCAAAGGCATATGTCATTGCATCATCTGCATATGATCTTTTGCCTTTAATCAGTTTCCTTTTGTGAGTTGTGGTCCCGGCTTTGATCGGTAGCTCTGCGGCGTTCACGTGTGGCTTCCTCGCCTTTCGATCACGTGATTTACCACTTCGCATAACTAGTTCATTTCATATAAGTAACTGGTTTAGAATAAGTTCGATTTTTTTCATTTAACCGGTTAATCAATTAATATTAATATTAATATTAATATTAACATTTTACAATTGCTATCCAAATTATAATAAAATTACTCAGCATAATGTGTATGTCCGTCCGAATTGTAACTAACAAACATAATATACATAATTCAATTGCTACTTAAAAATATTTACGTTCTCGATTCAATTTTACTTTCAAATATAGTTAAACCTGATCTATATCATCTTTTTTCTGAATCCTGATTAAACATGTTTAACAATCGATTATCATTCAACTTCCAAAATATTTGATTGGCTAAAAAAAACATTGCTAAATCAAAATATCTGAAACATGTCATCAGTTCAATTTTAAATTAGCTAGCCCCCATCATGATCTTCAAATTTTCCTGTATAATTCATTTGAGTGACGTAAAATCAACAAATCGAAAAGATGCTGAGCAGCGCGTGTACTGTAGGAGCTCCCTGAAATAGCAAATAATATCGTGCTAGGAGATCACTGTAAATGGCTTAACGCTGGCCTGTGATTTCTCACCCACATAACGCAGACCGGCTGTTAAAGAACATGTGATACGTATTAATATGTATTCATCATGTGTTATTAACGTGATAATTCATCAATAATATATGCTCTCATCTAATAAAAATTCTAAACTCTAACCCTAACCCTATGCAAAGTAAATAGCCTGCAGTGAAGTGACCATCGGGAAAATGTGCAACAACGATAATTTATTCAAATGTATAAGCATCGCGAAATGCATGGACAAGCGTAGTAAGTGAATCAAAGATCATGTGGCTTGGCTTAATTTTATTAGCAGTCGATCGAGATGTCACGCAGATCATGTGAATAAAATTTTTATTATGAAATTTGAGTGATCGACGCTCATATGATATTTTCGATTTTCATAGTAAATTGCAACGGTTGACCATTTTCAATCACCATTTGCAGGGGTTCCTAAAAGGAAACTGCGTTCTGAACAACGTGAAATGATTTAGAAAAATAAGTACTTTATTATTTTAATATTTAAAGTGAGAAAACCAATAAACTCCAAAAGAATCTTGCCCTCAAAGATGGCGTTTTGTTTCATAATCTATAGTAAGTAAAGTTTTTATAGCGAACTAAGTTATTGGTAAGCTTTTATTTCTGCACTGAGTCGAAAGCTTTAAACCAGTTAAAAATAAACTTA